TAGCTTATTTATATGTTTTGTGGTTATTTCTATATCAAAATTCAAAAAGGGTATCAATAAAACTACATAGTGAAGAAGAAACAAGAAAATGGAGAGAATTGATGACCGGTACGAGAACGAGAACTAACCTGCGACGATGAGATAATGATCGGCGACGATGAGTCAGAGCTGATTATCGGCGACGCAATTGATGGTCGGTGATGACGACGATCTGACGAGCGACGAGGGTTTTTTTTACGCAAATAATCAAGGCGTAGAGAAAATAGAACGAAGGAATTGGGACGGACATACCATAAAGGGATAAATGGTTTTTACCTATTGGGCCTTTAATTTTTAAAGATAAATTAGGTATAACTGAAACCCAACAAACGTGTCATATGCCCGACCCGAAAAAAAAATCTGACTACCCGAATACCCGAAAAAATTAACCCGATACCCAAAAAAATCGGACATGTAATTCGGGTAACGGGTATGTTCGATAGGGTTAGTGCGCGGGTATAGGTTTGGTTTTGGTGGAAGGTGCTTTGGTGTTGCTAAATTTTATGAATTTTGAAGTTGTGAAACTAGATAAAATAGAGATACAAAAAAATAGTATTAAAAAAAAAAACAAGAAATGATATGTTTTTATAGGTTAGAAAAAACTAATTATTTTTTTAAATCAAACCGTTTGACCATTTCTTTTTTTCATGTGTGGAGCAATGTTGAAGGCTCAACATACAACCACGATGTGTGTAGCTTGCCTCAATAACTTCCTTTTTTCATGTGTGGAGCAATGTTGAAGGCTCAACATACAACCACGATGTGTGTAGCTTGCCTCAATGACATGAAAGGAGATTAGTTCAGCCTTCTCCACAACGTTTTAAGCCTTCTCCACAACGTTTTAAGTCGTAGGTGATGTTTGGTTTGCAAAATATTGCTAAAGGAATTTGAATTGGAATTAGATTGAATCCAATTTCATATGTTGTTTGGTTGATAGGAAATGGAATTGGAATTAATTCCAGAATCTGTTTGATTCACAGGAAATATAATTGGAATTTATGTAAAATGACATAATTACCCTTTTTGTCAATTTTGCTTAATTTTACATTATTTTCTAACTTATATGTAAAAATACATTATAAAAATTATAAAAATAGTAGAATTTCGGCGGTGGTGGCAGCGGTGGTGGGGGTAGTGGCGGTGGTGGCGACGACCGTGGTGGGTGACGGTGATGGTGGTTGCGACGTTGGTAGTGATGGTGGCGGTGGCATTGATTGTGGTGGCGGAAGTAGTGGCGGTGTCAATTGGTGGTGATAGTGACGACGGTGATGGTGTTGGTAGTAGCAGCGACGGTTGGTGGTGCTGGTGGTGGTAGTGGCGATGATGGTAGTGTTGGTAGTGGTAGTGTTATTAGTGGTGGTGGTAGTGGCGGCAGTGGTGGTAGTGGGTGATGGCATTGGTAGTGGTGGTGGGTAATGGTCATGGTGGTGGTGATGGTAATGGTGGTGATGGTGGTCGGTGGCGGCGGAAACGGTGCTAATTACGATGATGGTAGTTGGTGGTGGTGTCGCAGGCAGTGGCGGTGGGTGGCCGCAGTGGCGGTGGTAGTGGTTGTGGCGGCAGAGGTGGTAGTGATGGTCGGTGGGGCGGCAACGGTGGTGGTGATGGTGGCAGTGGTGGTAGTGATGGTGGGTTTTCTGATAAGTACAAGGGGTATTTTTGTAATCTGTCATTTCATTGATAAAAATGAATGTTTTTCATCCAACTTTGGAAGGAATTCACTTTCCCTCATATGGTGGAAAGTTTATTTCATTTAGGAATCATTTTTTCTCCTCTAAGTCCAACCAAACGCATGAATTCGATGGAATTATAATCATTTTCCCTCGAATTTTATTCCTTTTCTGCCAACCAAACGCACCCTTAAATATTTTCGATTGGCATGGGTGGCTTGACGTTGTCGAAAATCTAACTTTTGTATTTTAGATAAAATTAAAATTACTAATTACTAATTACTAATCATAATAAAGAAAAAAGTTTAAAATAAATTGATATTTTGGAGCTTTTTATACATTTATTCTCTCCACGTGTACCATATCAAATAAATACTCCGGGTGTGGTCCTCTACCCCGCTGCAAAATCAATCAAAAGCCCTAAATTGATTCCAAAATGAAAATCACCCAACGGTTCGATCGAGTTGTTAAACCCTTAAAACATGTAGATTGCTCCACGAAAGATCCCAAACCTTCAATTCTTAAGATCAAACCAAATTTGAAGCCAAAATCAAAGACAAAACCTAGAACGATCAAGCAAAAAGCCCTAACCCAACCCGGTCTTCATTCAAAAGAGTCAAAACCCACAGTTTTGTTGGAAAAACCCCCAATACTGGGTCCTGAATTTTACCAAATCGACGCCCTTGATCTTGCACCTCGATTGCTTGGCAAGTATCTGAGGAGAGATGACGTTGTTCTCCAGATTACAGAGGTAGAAACTTGAAATTTACATATTCTTCGTAATCAATTGTGAATATACAGAAGAGCTTAGATTAATCAAAGTCCCCTGATTGGTAACATCAATTAGGGTTTAGATTAATCAGCGTTTGATGCATCCATATTGATTGATGATTAATCAATACTCGATGTATTTGCATGTGTTTATGAAAGTAATAATTGGTAAAATCAAATAATTATGAACTTGGCACTGACAGGTAGAGGCATATAGATCTAACGATTCAGCTTGTCATGGTCGCGTTGGCATTACACCAAGAACTGCTCCTATTGTAAGATCATAAAACCATTCTTTTGCTCTCCACTCTTGATCTCTTTCACTCTATGCTTATCTTTTCTTTTATAAAATTGCATAGTTTGGAGCAGGAGGGCATGCGTATGTTTATCTCTGCTATGGTCTGCATACCATGCTCAATGTTGTGGCTGACCAAGAAGGAATCGGATCAGCTGTCTTGATTCGTTCTTGTGCTCCTGTCACTGGTAATCTATTCATGTATAATATAATAACTTGTATCAATTTTTGATTTTTTTTTAAAAAAACTAATAAATTGATGATATGAATTAACAGGATTGGAGACTATCAAACAACGTCGGGGTTTGGATACTGAGAAGCCAATTCTTCTTACGGGTCCCGGCAAGGTCAGACTCAAATTATGGCCTTTTTCTGTTCTCATTAAGTGCAGATAAATGAGCTTAATGTGTTAAGCACTTAATCAGTACAGCTATACATTTTGCTGTTTTGTTTTACTTTGTTTGAACACAATGACTTGATTAAGGTGGGACAAGCGCTTGGGATTTCAAAAGAATGGAGTGGGCATGCTCTCTTTGCTTCTGGTAACAAATGAACCCAATTTTTTTATTTTTTTTTTGTGGATTGAATGGAATGGAATGTGAAAGAAGTTGGTTGGTTGGTGTTTTAGGTGATCTGGAGCTGTTGGATGGGCCGGAAGTGAAAGTGGAGGAGATGGTAGTGGGCCCACGTGTGGGGATAGATTATGCTTTGCCTGAAGATGTTGAGGCATTATGGAGGTTTGCAGTTGCAGGTAGCCCTTGGATAAGTGCTCCTAAGAACACCCTTAGACCACCTTCATCTTCTACAAAACTCTTGGATATCACAATTTAAAGTTATCTCTTTTTTTTGGGGGGAAAAGAAAGTGTTTTTTCTTGGGTTAAATGTTGATGTTATTATGTATAGTAAACAAATTGTTTTGAAAAGATTTATCACTTAAGTTTTATATTTGTTCCAACTTAAGAGTCTCCAAAGTTGAAATTAAAATAGATAAAAAACAAGATTTATGGTCATAATCAAACTGAGAGTTCGCATAATATAATTAATATTAAAGAGACTTTGAAGTTTAAATAAAAATTTAGAATCGAATAATGTAACATTTGTCTTGGTTTTTGTTTATGGCAGATGTTTCTTTTCCCAAAACCAACAACTTTCGAACTCTTTTTTGTCTTCAAGTTCAAAAACTACTTTAAGTCTTTTTATAATTTTTCAAATTGATTAATTACCTTATTTTTTTTAATCAACATCAACATTGTGAATTAGATAAGTCTTTTTATACAATGTTTTAAAAGCTTTTGACTACTTAAACCAAACACTAATATACAAATAAAAAATAGTTTCCGATTATCGGTTAGTTTTGCCAAATACAACCAAAATAACTATTTAAAGTCTAAACCAATTGAGTAAGTGTTTGGTTAAAGCTTATTCAAGGAGTTTTTTAACTTATTACCGATTCCAAACCCTATAAGTTAAAACTAGTGTTTAGATAAGACTTTTAAAAAATAGCTTAAAGCAATTCCACACCGAAAATAAATCATTTTTTATAAGTTACTCTTCATTTACTTATCAAAAGCTCTCAAACATTTTTTTTTAAAAGCTCCGTTGTGATGCCATTATAAGTTTATAAGCTAATAAGTAAAAAAATGTCAAACCATTTTAAATAAACACTTCTAAACACCCTCCAGGTAAATTGCTATTTTACCCTTATTTTTGGTTCTGAAATATTAATCATTTTAAATTACACGAATTTTTTTGGGAAAGAAACTTATAAATTGATGTTTATTATAAAAGTCGATACAAATGCCCTTGAATCTGAAACCAACAAACCATCAAGAATTTAAGAAATCCACACCAAATCAAAACATGACAAAGGCACACAACAACATCAAACCAATTAACGTGTTCTAAACACAAAGAAACAGAAATCAAATCAAACCATATATATACCATATTGCCTTTTAGAATTTAAAAGCAATACGAAATTGAACTATGGAAAAAGAAGAAACAAATTGCACTAGAAACCTTACCATATATAAATTACATTCAAAACGAATCACTATTTACAAACTTGAATCAAATGGAACCAAAACAAAACCATAAAACATAATAAAATTAAATGAAATTCTGGATTATCACTTGAACCCTAAAATGCCAAACCAAACAACCAAGTGAAATTATGACAATGAGACAACTACATTTCAATTACCAAACTATTGACAGAACATTTGAAGACAAAAATTGGCCAAAAAAAAAAAACACCCATCACTCTTAGTCAACCCAACACAAATGACAAAAAACCATATTACACAACAGTTAAAAGATCATCAGCAACATACCTTGAATCCACCCACATTCTCCTTCTGTGGTCCCCACAAACTAATCCAATCTAAAAACACAAAAATGTCAAAACAAGATTCACTTATTAGCATCATCATCTTATCTTGAAATGAAAATAATTTAATAATATACCTAAAAGAAATGATATACAAAAAGGTTACATCATGTCTGCCCCCCATAATATCATATGCCACGTGGAACCTTGTTTTATGAGGAACTTCAAACTTCAAACTTCAAACCAAATGTGTTTTAATTGTTGATTTAAGATGCAGACCCATAAAACTCAGTAAAGTCAAGGCGAAACATGAGAAACTTCAAATCAATATGTTGTTGCACAGGCAATTGAGAAAGAAACCCTTTGAAAAGCAAAGAATATTCCTTTGAAACCCCATCAATATCTTGTCCTGTGTTTTTCAGAAAATCACCCGCACGTTGTGTTATCGCTTTCCTCCCTTCACTTTCCCATGAATCAGAATCCATGTTCTTCTTGCTTCTAGAATGTTTCACACCCTCCATCTTCTTATCCTCCATTGTCCTACAAACATTAACAAATCACACACACAATATATAACTTTTTCACTTAAAGGGCTTAATGAGTTAAGCACTTGTTAGTTATTTCATTACCTTGCTTGAAATTCATAAATTCCTTCATAAAGTCGATCTGCATGACTACGGAAGCGTATTATAAGATCAAACAACATGAAGAGTGTTTTGTATAAATCTTTAGAGCGTTCACCAAGAAGAGACTTCTCAACAATCGAATGAAGATACTTATCATGAGCTGCAAGAAGGTCATCAAGATCTTTAGCTGCTTCCATTTCATCAGAAAAATTAGCCCATGAAACCTCCAACACCTCAAACATTATATAATACTGCAAATTAGTAAGAAAATGATTCATTTCATTCCACAAAACTTGACACCTTCTTGAAGTCAAAATCAACCGAAACTTAACAGCCTTCGGTAGCTTCGTGAAGAAATGAGAAGTAATCAAATTCGGTTTCATTGTCTTCCATGCACCAATAAGCGCGTGTTCCACCCTTCTAAGCTTCCATAAAAAATTAAAAATTCTAAGGTATTTTGCCATTATAGAGCCTGTAAATACTGTATTTAAAGGAATTCTCGCATCATAATCCAAAGAAAACACATCCCACCCTCTATCTCCACTACTATGTGGCATCATTTTCACACGTAATCTATCTAAAACATCAGGGTCATCATATTGCGCGTTTGATGACCTAATTGCACTTTCTAAAAGCCCGGAGAGTTTGAAAGAGCTTATAGTGTTAGCAGGCTCGGAAAGCTCGGGCCCCACTATGTCCATTAAGTACTGAACAAAATCACCTTGACCTAATAAGAGATATCGTTTGATAGCAAGACAATGTTCTTTGAATCTATAACGGTTGTAAACAACATCCATTAAGTGTTTATCGATTCTTTTTGCTGCTTCTGTGACTAAAGATTCTAGTGCATCTGTTTCGCCATATCCTAGACCTCCTCTTCTTGTTGTAGTCCCTGTAGCAGCTGCAGCTTGTGTTGCTGCATCTGCCCAGGTTCTATCCTCACAGCAAACCCTAAGAAAGTTGATGGATTTACCTGTTCTTAGTATGCGGCGTGCGAGAGATTGAGAGATGAAAGAAGGAAGCATTGCAGGATGGAGTTTATAACCTTCTCTCCATAAAGATTCTGCTTTTACAGATTGTCCAAGAACAAAGAACTCAGAAAAGATGTCTTCAAGCTCACCTTCTAAGACCCAACTTCTTACCATTTCGAAAAGAGGAGAACATACTCTGCGAAGTAATCGTTTCATGAAACCATGGAGAAGAGGGTCACCATGTTGGGCGTGCATGTGGATTGCTCCAGCCATGGCTCCACCCTTGAGAGCTTTACAGCTGTCTACAAGAACAGCCATTAGGCGCATCTTCACCATTGGCTCTGCAAACCAGACTGAAAGTCTTCTGAGAGAAAGATAGTTGCCTGAGGTTGCGTTGTCTGAAACTAAAGGGATTGGATTCATTGATTGTGATTGGAGTACAGCTAGTAGTTTATAGTACTCAGAAAGCTCATCTTGTAATGCTGCACAGAATGCTTGAGCTACTGTTCCAACATCTTCATCTTGGAACTTGTACATACTCTCTGAGATGTAGCCTTTTACCTTTTTGAACAACCAGCCAAGCTCACAGAGCTTACGGATCATGATTTTGGTAGGCTTTGGAACCCTAATTGAATCCAGTAATGCATATCCATCAATGGTTTCATTGAATTTCACATACTTCCCATCGATTCCTTGACAAGCATACAACACATCTCTCACCAAAACCTCCTCTGAAACATCATTCTCTTCCTTCACTATCACAGCAAACTCCCTATACGCTATATCTCGCAGATTCTCGGGATCTTTTGAAACCAATAGAACGCCACCATTGTTGAACTTTGTTGAATTACTATGACGCAAACCGTTTACATTATCATTAGAAACCGCATCATCGTTCCCATCATCATCTAGATTTTTCCCTAAACGTGAAAAACCAGAACTATCCTTTGTAACCCTAGCAAGATGTCCATTAGTTTCAGGCTCAAATAACGTTGGGAGTCCACCAGAAAAGCTCGAATCGCTTTGAAGTTTAAGGTTACTTTTACGATCTTCGGAAATGACTTTGAGCAAATAAAGGACGGCCCACTTATTGTTAACACTACCAGGGCCATTTTTAGAAGCGAATTTAGAATAGAGATCTGCAAACGATAAGGCATCAGACAGTTTACCTTGTTTAACGAGTTGGCTTTTGATAGAATACGCCATAGCGGCTTCGTCGGCGGCGATCGATGGCGTCATTCGGCTGGATAAAATGCGAGTGGCGTACTTGACATTGCTAGGGTTAGGTTTTGAGTTTGAAAGTGAAGAAGAAGAATTGTTATGCAGACGGTGGACTAATTCCCGGACAAGATCTCCGACACGGCGGTCGTCTTCCATGGAAAGCGATTAACGGCGAGCGAGAGGGGGAGGGAGGTGTTTGTAAGGTTTGAGAGAAATCGAGGGGCTTTTGTTTTTTAGTTTTTTTCAATGTGGGCGCGGAAATAATTTCGTTTTCAGTCACCAGAGTTTTTTTAATCATAATTCTACCATCACTTTTCTTTTTCAAAAACTCCTTTCTCACAAAAATAAATAAATAAATAAATAAAATATAAATCAATAAATAAATTAAAAAGCATTTAGAAAATCTTCATTAACTATCCCTATATTTGGGTTTGTTTTAAAACAAAATTATAATTTGAATAAGAAATGAGAAAAAAGGTAAACAAAAAAAAAGATAGATTAAATAGCATTTAGGAAATCTTCATTAACGGGGTGTTTAGGATTGCGATTGAAGAGTCTTTATTGAATTATTAGCTTTTTGAAAAGCTAATAAGTCAAAAAAATATTTTGCAAATACAAAAAGCACTTTCACAATAACTTTTCCATAAGTTTCAAAAAAACACTTTTTAATTAAAATATAAAACGTGGTTTTTTGAAACTGTTTATGACTTTTCAACCGAAAGAAATTTTTAACTTATTGGCTTCTCACTATAAAAGCTTATCCAAACACTTTTTAAAAAAGTTTTTTTTACCACCACTATAAACAAATAAACATTTCTGTCTAAAAGAATTTTTTGAGTTCAAAAAGCACTTCCAAACACCCCTAAATGTCTTTACATTTGGGGTCGTTTTAAAACAAAATTATAATTTGAATAAATAATGATAAAAAAGGTTGTAGTTTTATTTATATAATTTGGATTTTAGTAAGTTAATGATCGACACATAAAATCAAATATAATGGTCTTTGAAAAATACGATCAAAATTTAAAGATTTTCGAAAATGATTACTTTATAATTATATTTTAATATTTTAATTCTTAGTTTATTATATTATTGTATTTTTTTTAATGTGACAGAAAGTATAATTTCATTCTATTTTTTTGTATGACATATGATATTATCCCCGTAAATTATTATTATTATTATTATTATTATTATATGTGTGTGTTTGTGTGAAAATTGCAAGAATGGTCATGTGGTTAGTCGAAATTGCTATTTTAATGGAAATTATCGTTTTAAGCCAAAAATGTTTGGACTAGCACTCATGATCTAAAGTTTTTCATTATGTTGTGTAACGCTCAAATTTTTAAACAAATCTTTCATTTTTAAGATTCTTAAAAACATAGCTTTTAACACCCTCTCATGTCAAATATAATTGTCAAATACATGACATCATAAAACAAAGTCAGAATATCTCAGAATCCACAAATATCCCCATTAGCAGTCGAGTGTGTACAATCATGTCGGCGCCTTCCTACAGTCCTGAGATATACCTGAAACACATTTACATCAATATTGTAAGCATAAAGTTTAGTGAGTTTCCCGAAGTATCACATACACAAATAAATTAGCATTTCATGGTTATATCTCAATAAGGACCCTCCCGTTGTGTGTCTCAACGGTCTCACATCTCGGTATGGACCCTCCGGTCATAACTCAATATACATACACATAATGATATAACAGCATAAGTCACAAAGACAGAATGCACATATATATAGAATTAAGACCATCAGGTCAACATCACAAATAAGACCCTCCGGTCACACAAATTACCAAATGGTAAGTATAGTGAGAAGACTCGTCTCACGTAGCAAAGCAATAAATCTCGCACCCGAACTGTCAGTCTAGACTCCGCCCAAAATATGCCACAATATAACTCTAATTCTACCAATCACTTTTTTTTCAAAAACTCATTTCTCACGAAATAAATAAATAATATATATATATATATATATATATATATATATATATATATATATATATATATATATATAGAGAGAGAGAGAGAGAGAGAGAAAGAGAGAGTCAAAATCAAATAAGAAGGAAATTTTTAGTAGGAAGGTAAGAAATTTTTTTATATGCATATTTTCTTAGCAAAAAATGAAATGGATCATTAGATGATTCAAAACTAAGATAATTCACAATAAAAAATTCTAAAAAAAACATCTTCATGATTTATTTTTAGGTAAATCAAGAAAAAAAATTCAATTTTATGACAATTTTAGTGAATATCAACAAAATCATCATAAAAATGAATCATCCAAATGTTTTTTCGCGATTTTTTTTGCTGAATCATGTTATTATTGATTCATTTAATGATTCATTTGTTTTTTTTTCGCCAAAAAAATAAGTTGAAAAAAAACTGCTTACCTTCCTACCAAAAAAAAATTCTTACCGGATATATATATATATATATATATATATATATATATATATATATATATATATATATATATATATATATATATATATATACCTGTTTTAATAAATGATCAGTTTTTTAGAATATCTATTTGACGTTGTATTTTTCTATGATTTTTATTATTTTTTTTTATTGTAACAAATCAAATATAATTCAAATTTTGAAAATATAAAATCATGTTCTAATAAGATTATTATGTTTATTTTACTTAACAAATTAATTCATAATTACTTATAATCGACAATATCTTAGTTTTTTTACATTTATTATTTTTTTTATCTATATAAAAATTTTAAATATACCGACCGTGGTTTCAATACGTTATATAAATAAATTAATTAAAAAGCATTTAGGAAATCTTCATTATATGATCAACTATCCTAATATTTGGGTTTGTTCTAAAACAAAATTATAATTTGAATAAAAAATGAGAAAAAAGTTAAACAAAATTAGGAAATCTGTTATAAAATATGATCAAATAACAAGATAAATTATAGAGTAAGTAAAGATATGAGAGTAGAGAGAACTTTTATTCCAATATTTGTGATGAAATCATCAAACTTTACAATATATAATATTCACTATTTATACTAGACAAAGAAGATGAAAGGTGATGTATGATATGAATGCTCATTATAGTGGTGCATAACTACACTCATAAAACTCATAATAATGTTTGCTATAATGTTCACTAATTATGGAGAATAATGGGGGAATATGGAGAATCCAATAGTCATTCACTAAATAATAATTCATAACACTCCCCCTTGAATGACGATTGTATCATGCCTCGTTAAAACCTTAATCGGTAAAACCTCATGGGAAAAACCCTTTATTAAGGAAAAAGAGTATATGATTAATAATAGATATTGGAAACAATTGTCTCGTTAAAAACTTTGCTAAGAAAACCCAGTGGGAAAAACATAGCTAAGGAAAAGAGTACAATATGTTTCCAACTTCCCCTGATTAGCACATCACTTGATTTTCTTGAAGCACCACATAACAATGTTTCATACCATCTTTTCAAATTTCGATGTAGGAAGTGCTTTAGTAAACTAATCAGGAAAGTTGTTATTGGATTAAATTTTCTAGATGTTGATGCCACACTCTTTTTGAAGATAATAAGTGAAAAAAAAAAAAAAAAAAAAAAAAACTTTGGTGATATATGTTTGGTTCTGTCTCCTTCGATAAATCCTTCCTTGAATGAAGCTATACAAGTTGTATTATCTTCATATTGTATGGTTGGAACATCTCTGTTAGAAGTTAGACCACAAATCTTGTAAATGTATTGAGTTAAATTTCTTAACCAAATACATTCATGACTTGCCTTATAAATTGCTATAAATTCTGCATGGTTAGAATACGTAGTAACTAAAGTTTGTCTAACAAAATGACAAGAAATTATGTTACCTCCACAAGTGAATAAATAACCTGTTTGGGATCGAGCTTTGTGTGGATCAGATAAAAATCCATCATCTGCATAACTAATTAACTTCGCATTTTACAAATTTGATTAGTATAAATTCATATCCAATGTACCTCGAAGATATCAAAGAATGTGTTTGACTGTATTCCAGTATCTTCTTGTTGGATAGGAACTATATCTTTCTAATAGTTTACGACAAAAGATTTATCAGGTTTTGTATTAATAGTAATATATATTAGTGCACCAATAACACTAAGATATAGTTCTTCAGGAACAAGAAGATTTTCATGTTTTTTATGATGTTGAAATTGGTCCTTTTCGGCATCTAAGTGCGTTACTACCATCGGGGTACTCAATGGATGAGAGTTATCCATATAAAACATTTTAAGCACCTTTTCTAGATAACTATATTGATGTATAAAAACTCCATTTTTGGTGTGCTCAATTTGAAGACCAAAACAAAATTTCGTTTTACCAAGATCTTTCATTTCAAAATTTTCTTTCAAACAAGAAGTGGCATTTTCCAATTCTCCAGGAGTTCCAATTATGTTCAAATCATCTACGTAAACAGCAATTATCAAAAATTCTGATCCGGATCTTTTTATGAATACACATGGGCTTAATGGATCATTTTTATAGCCCTCTATTAAAAGAAATGTACTTAAACAATTGAACCACATTCGGCCAGATTGTTTTAATCCATACAAAGATTTATTTAATCTTATCAAATATATTTCACGAGAATTAGGAGTTTGTGCTTCTGGCACCTTAAACCCTTCTGGGATTTTCATATAAATATCATTTTCAAGTGAACCATATAAATAAGCGGTAAATACATCCATTAGACACATCTCCAGTTTTGCATATGTTGTTAAACTTATAAAATAGTTGAATGTAATTGCATCAACTATCGGAGAATCTGTTTCTTCATAATCAATTTTGGGCTTTTGGGTAAAACCTTGTGCAACAAATATTGCTTTATATCTCACAACTTCATTCTTCTCGTTTCGTTTGCGCACAAATACCCATTCGTGTCCCACTGTTCTTACTAAGTTTGGTGTACGGACTACTGGTCCAAAAACTTTTCGTTGAGTAATAGAATTAAGCTCTTTATTTATTTCATCTTTCCATTTTGGCCAATATTTCTCTTCATACATTACTCAATATATTTATGTTCAAGATCCTCATTTTCTTTATAATCGCGCACGGAACATGATATGAAAAATTATCGTCGACATTTATCTTATTTCGGTTCCATCTTATTCT